AACTCCTGAACCTCAATGGATGGAAGCTGCTCTACTCAGGCGTGGATATCACGACTCGCGCTCAGGCCGGTGTTGGCGTTCTGGTAGAACCCAACCTCGCCGACACAATAATCGATTGGAAGCCTATCAGCGGAAGGATGGTAATCCTCCGACTGAACCTACAACAGGCTAAATCGATGACCTTGGTACAGGTCTATCCGCCCAATTTTGAAGGAGAATATGACACCGCCCTTGAGGAAGTGCAGTGTGCACTGTCTGAAGTGCCGAATACAGGGTCCCTCATATTGATGGGCGATTTTAATGCGCACATCGGAGAGGACGTTGAAAAGTGGAACGGCGTGATTGGGAAAAACGGCCCTAGCGACCTCAACAATAACGGCATGAAGTTTTGCGGTTTTGTGCAAACAACGGATTGTCTATTATGAACACCTTCTTCGAGCATCGAAAAGTGCATCAGATGTACAAACAACGGATTGCCCATTATGAACACCTTCTTCAAGCATCGAAAAGTGCACAAGTACACTTGCTACCGGGAAGCTTGTGCACAGAAGTAGATGATCCACTTGATAATGGTATCGTGTGACCTAAGACGCTCAACAATGGACGTTCGCTTTAAGAGAGCCGCAGAGCTATCAACCGATCATCCCTTTGTTGTTGACACCTTGCCTTGTAAGAAATGGAGTACCAAAAGAAGTTCCGGTGGCAGAAGCAACCGCATAATCAAATCGGAAACATTGTCTTTAGTGGACACGAGAGCGAAATTTGGAAACAACATCGCACGACGATTTGAACAGATCCCAATCATGACAACTGACGTTGAAACCGAATGGCAGCTGTCTAAGGGAGGCCTACTCGAGGCTGCCGCGGAATGCTGCGGATATAAACGGGTTCGCCTGCCCCCTGGAGGTCAGCAAAGATCTTCTTGGTGGACACGAGAGGTGAAACTGGCAGTCAAAGAGAAGAAAGCAGCGTTCGAGAAATGGCTTGGAAACAAGGAGCCATCTACACGCGTGCGATATGTCG